TATTTTTCTTTGCCTGTTTGGAATATACTGAGGACTTTGGGTGTCATATCAATTGTCATGATTACTTGAACACGCTATTAAGATATTCTCTGCACGTGCCTTTCACTGCCAATAAATTTTCCCTTTGTAAACAAAAGTTTTCAAACTCAGTTTATAATGATACAGCTGCCTCTAATATTGAAATTGGTTATTATTTTATCCTTAATGACATTTCTCCAACTTCAAAGCGGTTTTTAAATGACTGAATCTATATGTCTTTTTCCCGTTTCTATTTTTCTATAAACCACCTTTGTTCATATCGAGTTAAACAACAACAAACAAAAAAAGAAGCAATAGCTACAGAGCACTTCATACTTATTTGAAACCCTTACACATACAAATTACGAAGACATTATGATTATTTAAGTAAATCCATCTAACAGAAATGCTAAAACTATAACCTGAATATGTTCATTCCATTGCTTTTCATTAGATTTTGGTCTCAGTCACCAAGTAAATAGATTAACCGAAGTTATGATTTAGTTGTTAAATAGCAAAATTTAAAGAAAATGAGGAGCACTGTTAAACTGGGCAAATGTAGAAACTATTTATAGTACTACAACTGACAGCTTTAAAGTCCATGACTTGGCAGGACAATGATACAAGAAAAAGAAACACATCCTTTAGAATTTCTAACTTTTTATTCTGTATTGTAGTTGTAGTTGAAAGACCTTATATATAACAGTGGAATAGGGGAAAGAAGTACCAACTACTGATTGGATAAGTGGAGAATCTGTTCAAAATATGTAGTCATACATGCCAGGTACTTTACTAATATTCATGGACATGTTTTGAATCTTATTAAAATGATATTTTCTACTTTGGTGAACTAGCTTAATGAAAAGACTCCAAATTTAACTTGAATTTTGCTAATTTTAGCTGTTAAAATAGGCACTTTTATATTGGCCGCTACATAGTCTCTCTCAACCAAGTGAAGAGTTAAGGTGATACCTCATTATTTATTCTATGGAGAATGAAATGTGTGCACAGATACAGGGCCTTCATTCCTAGGAACATGTAGATAGACTAAGAAAGAAAATCAGATAAGCAACGCAGGAACAACTCAGAAAGATTACCTTAAGGAAAATGGAAAATAATTAAATGTGGATAGCTTGGCTTTCCAAAGCCTAGAGGGACATGCTAAATACTGACAAAATACAACAGCAAAGTCATTTAGCAAGACAGGTCATTTGGTAAAATAACAACAATAACAAAAACCCATTAATGTCTGGTCTGTTTTATAATATGGTCATGGTATTCTGTGGTGTGTCAGAGATGAATCTGAAAGGTTCTTGCCCTTGCCATTGAATCTCCCTATGACTAATGGCTCACATTTGTTAAACACACAGAAATTTTTAGAGTTATAGTAAGACACACATACACATATGCACACACAAAAGCTAAATTAAACTCAGGAATACTGAACACTTACCTTCTAATTAACTGAGTTGCCTGGAAGTCACACTGTTTCCTGATGTTAATAAGAACTCACAAATAATAATCAATGCAGCCAGTTAAAAATACAAACTCAGGGCTTCCCTGGTGGCGCAGTGGTTGAGAGCCTGCCTGCCGATGCAGGGGACACGGGTTCGTGCCCCGGTCCGGGAAGATCCCACATGCCGCGGAGCGGCTGGGCCCGTGAGCCATGGCCACTGGGCCTGCGCGTCCGGAGCCTGTGCTCTGCAACGGGAGAGGCCACAACAGTGAGAGGCCTGCGTACCGCAAAAAAAAAACAAACAACCAAATAAAACCAAACTCAGTGAAAAATATAATTTCAAGTTAGGTGACTAATGTTCTATCGAATATATAATAATATAGATAATATAATAAAGTCTTATTATTAATGTTAAAATATAACTATTATAGCCACATCCCAAAGAATAAATCATCTGGAGTTGTTCCAGGCTTAGTCAGCAGAGTGTCATGGACATTTAACATAAAAAACACTTCTTGACCCTGAGGATATAAATCAGAAAACTATTAGCTGAGGCACACTAGTTGATTCTGCGAAGCTCTACACACAGCCTCACATAATGTCCTCAACAATAAGGAGGAAAACTAATTGATCTTATAATTAATTTGACCAACACAGAACGTACATTTAGGTCAAAGAGTGAATATTGGGTTTGACATTGACCAACTTAGCTATCTACATGGATCAAATTAAACAAGTAATTGCGGGCATGTGGCCAGGTCAGACTATGGACTTGTACCTATTAATCTGACTATATTTGGAAGTTCAGCTATTAATTTGGGTAATCTATTTACCTCAGTGTATGGTTGAACTTCTGGGATTTGCTCTGTTGGAAGTTGTAAGTGAACATAAAGGGTAGCCCCAAGTGAAATAGGCAATTTACATACGCGGAAAGTACAAAATTTTGTGTAACTGTGGTTAGGGAGGAAAAAAATGCGATTTCTATGTCACTGGAAAAGTTACTTATTCAATACTCCAAGCCAATGTTAACGTTCCTACCTTGAAAATTAAATAAGAAGTCAAAGAACTGGAGCCGTTTTACTAGTTAACATTCACTTATATTGAGTTATATTGAGTTTGAAATTAAATATTAGAATAGTTACTGGAAACTGTCTCAAATACGTTTACTATGTACAATGTAAAATTGTAACTAAAGAATGTGGAATAATCTTTTAGAGTTCACCATACATTGAAGATTAAAAAAAAAATACAAAGAAAGCCAAATTCTTTGCAGAAATAATGTCACCTCCATTGATATGTGAAACTAGAAAATCTTCAGAAATAAACTCCCGCATAGCTAAGCATCAAGTATATAAAGGTTAGAGGAGTTTTTAAGTAAGAGAGTTTCAATAATAAGGAATCTAAACTTAGCATCCTTAATCTGAATGGCATAGAACAGCATGTTTCTGACAATCAAGTAGCCAAGGAACAATCTGCTTCTT